AGCGGAGTGCCCGAGGACGTGGAGCTCGGGCTGGGAAAGGGCAGCGGGGCTCGGGCGGCCCCCGGCCCGGCTTGTCCCCTCCCCTCGGCCCCGCTCGGCTGGGGCTTCGCGCGGCTCCTCCGCGCGGGGGCGGCTGCCGGGCGGGGCGGGGGCAGAGGCGGCGCCCGCTGCGAGGCCGGGGGCGGAGTGGGCCGGCTGCCGGCGGGGGGCGGAGGAGGCCGCGGGCGAGGAGGCTGGGGAGGGCGGCGGCGGCGGCCGCTGCGGCCGCGCGGCTCCCCGGGGAGCGGCGTGAAAGGCGAGTGCGCTCACCAGCTGACGGCGCGTGCTCGCCCCAGACGCGCCGCGCCGCGGCCCGGAGCCTGCGCCAGCGCCTCCATTGTCACCCGCCCCCTAATTGCGGCGAGCCGCCCCCGCGCGCCTCGGTTCCTGTCCTCGCCTTTATCTTCCCCCGACTTCTCGCCTCCCCCGCCTCTGCCCGGCGTCCGGGCGTTTAACCCATTCTGCGCTCGCTTCGCCTTTCCTGGCGAGGAGGGGCCTAGTGGAGGACCGGGGACCTCGCCGTCCGCGCCCGCGGCTGCGCTCGGCCCAGGGGGGAGGCCGGCTGCTGAGTGCGCAGTCCACAGAGCCAAAAACACCAAGGAAAACTCAGGCCTTTCTTACATTCCCTCCCCCGTCTCCCGCCCCTTCTCACCAAAACAATTGCAAGCAATGCAACGCTGCTGCTTATCTGAACTCTCACTTAACACTTGCTGTTTTCTGCAACATTGCAATTGGCCCCGTCTGCATTGCACTTGGTAAGTGCAGTCTGCGACTTTGCCTTTCCAGTCCCAATTCGGGTTTGGAACTGGCAACGGAAAGCTGATTATCTTTTTCTCGAACTTTCAAGCAAGCCTAGGAGAGGAATATTTTACAAGATATCCTTTGATAAAAGACCACTCACTTTGTTCAGGTTTGAATCTCTAAAATCAATAGAAGGGCCTCATGGAAGTATTGGTCCTGTGTCAGCTAAGATTAAAGAAATTAACTTTCCCTCCTCCCCGCCTTTTTTTTTTTTTTCTGGTCAAGTTGGACCCCCAGTTAGCAATGTCCCTTAGAGAACGTGGTGAAACTTGCCCCGTTGCCAAAAAATAATCTTTCTTCAGCTCTCCGTGAAATCAAATAAGTTTCCCAAAGTGTGGCGAGCCAAAACCCTCCACGAATAAAAGTGGTGGTGGGGTAGGAGGCAAAGGCAGAATATAAAGCAAGCTGCTGAAAGTATATAAAACTCGAGAAAGCACCAGCAGTGCTTGCAAAGAACTAACCCGATTTATCTATCTTCATTACTTTAAGAAATGCTGCCTCTTTGTTTGTTTGGGTGATATTAAGCATGCTTAACTTGCACACATAGTTGATTCCTTTGCTAGTATCTTGGATACTTGGATCTGACTTTGGAAGGTAGAAGCTAATTGTTAATAATGGAGAGAAAGGAACCAGTCAGCATGGCAGGAGTGGTCTGGCATATGGGAAATGAGCGCTCAGAAATACTCAATATTCAAGTTTCCAAAATATTAATGAGATTATAGCAACCTGCAGCTATATGTTACAGCTTGTTAATGGAGTGTAAGAGAGCGAGCTGCCAAACGTTTGTTATGCAAACTCTGGAGCAGAACCTTAAAATGGAAATGTGATTGTACATCTCTTTCAAAGAAATGCCAGCATAAAAAAAAAAGAGAGAGAGAGAGAGAGAGAAAGAAATAGAGTGAAGGAAAGAAAAGGGGTTAAAGTTCTCATTTGAACTTTGAGCACTCAGTTTACCACAGAGCGATTTGACTTTTTGTGCATGTTTTGATGGGTTAGAAAAATTCACCATCGCTTTTCAATCAGTGTGATACAGAATTTCCAATCTGATATTGTTATAGTTTTTTCTCTTGAGAATAAGTGTAAAGAACTATCTTAAATGAAGATGAGGAATTCTGATTCTTATATACCACCCTTAATATTTAAAAGTATAAATATCTGCTATTATGGTTGTCACTGCCCTCCCTCCCCCAAGTTTGGATAGCTGCAGCTCTTAGCTATTGATTTTCTCAGAGAAAAATTTGTGGGAGCGTTGATCTGGTGGACAGGAATACTAAAATCTGGATATTGTCACTTTCTGGCTGTGTGATTTTGGGGCAACGAATGGGCTGCAGTTTCTTCATTTATAAAAGATGTAAAGGAAAATATTCGTGATGCACTTTCTGTTTTGTGGTTTCTATGTGTCCATGAAAAATATTAACTTTGGATGAGGTCTTTTTCCTCTTTGGTTGACACAAAATGAGTATAAATCATTTCCCAAAATGACATATAGATTGTTTGAGGGGAAAAAAAAAATCACAACTATTTTTTTCCCCCTGTCCTTTCCCTACTCAGACTCACAACAGGTAAAAGAATTCTAGGTCCTCTCCTCTCTCTCTCCCTGTACACACTCAGGCAAACACACCGAGCCAAATAACTGTAAAAATAAGTGTGCTCTCGTCCCGCAAGGTTGCTGTACGTTCATACCTGTTGGGTCTGCTCATTGCTTATTGAGAGTGAAACGGAGATGTGTTAGAAGCCATCGCTTGATTTATTCAGCAACCCGAAGATTCCTGATGTTTATCGTGAGGACAGCAAACTCGGTGGATGCCAAAGGTTATCTAAGGGACAGGTGCATTGTTTCTGCCCTGGAAAGCGTCGCGAGCCACCGCTCACTTCTCCGAGAGAGCTGGCGGCGGCTCCCAGTTTCTCTTGTGGCTTCAAGCTGAAAGCCACCGGGACCCAGGTGGTCACTTAAAAGCTGGTTGCGCGGTTCCCTCCTGGAGACCACAACCCGCGCTCCTTCGCGCGTTACTTTTTTTGCAAATCTAGTTTGTGGCGCTTTTCTTTTTTCTTGTGGCTCTCCCCTCTTTTTGGGGTGCTGGGGAGAGAGGAGGATGCAAGAGCTTTTTTTTTTTTTTTTTTTTGCTTCCTTTTCCTGCAATTTGTTATCCCAGTGAGGACACAAAACATAAAAGACTTGGCTTAAAATCAACGTCTCAAATTCAGTGATGTTTATCCAGCGGAATGTCGCTGAATCTTTAGTTTAATAAATAGTTCTCTCATGTTGGCCAATCGAATTTATTTTTTACAATTCAGCTTTCTACTCTCTGCATATACATACTATATTAGCTTTTCTAAAACCTAGGAACGCGTGACCCAGAACAGGCTTTTCGTTAGTGAGGACATCTAGGTGTGAATGAGAGTACCGTTTAGTGTCTGCAAATAACTCAAAAGTGTAGCTGAATAATCTTTTCTATATAGAAGCTAATTCAGAAGGACAAAATAAAGATGCATATTCGCTTCTATATTGGAAGCAGCAGAATTATTTGGAAAGAAAAAAATGAGCGTAGGTCAACAATTTCCTAAGGGCAACTGCTGGCTTCTAATTTTTGAGTCAATGAGCCCAATTCTGCTTTCCCTTCAAGTTCTTTTCCATTGTCCTCTTTGCGTCTTCAGGTCCCGCTACCCCAAAATAAGAGAGAAAGAGAGAGAGGTAGGAAGAGAGAGAGGGAGGGAGGGGAGGAGAGGAGAGGAGATTCTGAGAGCGCACTTGTGCTGTGCATTTGACCTGCAAGAAAGCTTTCAGCTTGGCTAGTTTTTATGAGTGGAAATAGCTAACCCTGGTAAAGTTACTCCTGGCTACATCCTAGGAGCCCCTCGCAGAGGCTCTTGGGGCTAGGAGTAAGGGAGACTGGAAAGATCCTGGCTGTCATAGAGGCAAAGCTGTGCTGCAAATTTGAGAAAAGTTTTATCTCACAATGTAATTATTATAAATTCACTATTTAAAACTTTTTTTAGAGATGGGGGTCTTGCTATATTGCCCAGGCTGGTCTCAAACTCGTGGCCTCAGCAGTCCTCCAGCCTCAGCCTCCCAACGTGCTGGGATTACAGGTGTGACCCACCGTGCCCAGAGTTAAATTCACCTTTAATAAAAGACTTCGTGCAAGTCTTCAAGGTCATTTAAAAACTATTTTCCAAGGTTATGCTGGAATGGAATAAATGACAAATAAAAGCTACTTTTCACGTTTATTTTCATCATTTGCAAAAGGAAATACATAAAACAATGGCAGTGGGCTTTGCTAAATTAAAATAAAATGATCTCGAGTAGAAAATGTAAAAAAAATGAATCGAGATAAGTAGAAACGGTAGCAAACACTCAATAATAAATACGTTTTCTAACATTAACAAAGCAAAATAAAATTGACCAAATGCTTTTGACACTACTGGATGTGTGTGTGTGTGTTTTTTTTAATTTTCATTTTTTAAACAAACATTTGCAAAGAGCTTAAGAATTATAAGTGGCTGTGTTTAAAAATTAAAAAATAAAAAAAAACGGGTCTGCAATTGGCAGTTGAGTTTTTCCTGGAGCCGCAACAGCAGCGGCTGCTAAAGTGCGTGCGCCAAGTTTCCTAAAAGACGCCAACCTTCTCGCGATCGGATATACATACTGGGTCTGTTTATACAATATATAAACCTTAAAGTTCTCCGCTTTTTCTTTTTTTTTTTTAACAATTCCATAGTCAAAAGTTATTTACTTTGGAAGCATTCACTTTGCGTTTCATAATGCGTTTCGGGAAACAACTGCGGAAGACTGACTCTCCCACCCGTGAGTGCACGCAACGCACAGGGATGGGAGCCCAGGGCATAAAATAAATTAAACCCAAACCAGCGGCAGAGAAGAAGATGCGACGTCTGAGCAGCGCATTGGCAGCGGGGAACTAGAGTAATGATGCCATGTTTGGGTAGGAGTAATTAATACCGTGTCTGTCTACACGGGGAGCAGAAGTCGGGCGGAAAGGACGCAACTTTCACAGCACGTTTGCATCAGACAATGCGGACCGTAGGAAGTTTGGAACAGCGGCGGCCTTTGCAAACCATCAAACGTCGCTGCCGTCCGAAGCCAAGTCGTTGCTAAACAACGGCCGTGGCGGAGCCAACACCAAAGGGTGCGGGGCTCCTCAACCGCGGGGCTTCGCGCGCGCCGGGCCGGGCGGTTTTGCTTCTGCGTCCGTGTGCGGGCTCCTGTCACCTTCCTAACTCGCCTCGTCCGAGTCGCTGTAATGGGAACGCGGGGAAAACTCCCCGTCGCTTCTGTGGGACCGGGGAGACGTTTTGCTGCTTTCCTCCTGCACCGGCTGCAGGAGGCCCCCGGGCAGAGAAGGCGACAAGCGCTTTTGCGCCATCATCGCCGTCAGCGCGCTGTCCTCGAAGGTCGGGAAGTGCAGAGCGTCCAGCGGCACCGAGTACGCGCCCGCGGCGGCCGGGGCGGAGAAGCGAGTCCGGCAGCCCCCGGGCGCAGTCGGCCGCTGGCCCCCTCCCGAGGCCGGCGGCGCCCCCGCTGCGGTCGCCGTGCCCGCGCCCCCTTCGTACGCGGCGGCGGCGGCGCGAGCGTGGTGGAGGTCGGCTTTGCAGGGGGCCGGCGGCGGCGGCGGCTGCTCCCCGCCGCTGGGCGTCTGCAGCAGCTCGGACAAGGCGTTGATGTAGATCTGGGCCATCTGCAGCGTCTCGTACTTGGACAGCTTTTTGTCGTTGTTGAACGACGGGATAACGTTGCGCAGCTGGTCGAAGGCGTGGTTCAGCCCGTGCATCCTGCGCCGCTCCCGGGCGTTGGCCGCCAGCCGCCTCTGCTTCTGCACCCCGTTCACCTGCTTGCTGGAAGGGGCCCGCTGGCGGCCGCAGCCCAGCTCGTCCACCGCCACCCCGCCTTTCAGCCTGCACAGCTGTTCCCGCACTTTCGCCGGCCCGGGGCTCTTGCCGCCGCCGCCCCTCCTTACCGGCTCCCCGCGCCCGTCCGCCTCGTCCCGGGGCGCGGGGGCCTCGGCCGCGCCCAGCTCGGGGGAGGGCAGCAGATACTGGGCGGCGCGTGCCGTGCACAGGCCCTGCAAGGTGGGCGCCAGCCAGGCGCGTGGGTCGGAGCCGTCCAGGAGGGACAGCTCGGGCGGGTACACGGGGTGCTCTCTCGCCTGCAGAGCCGCAGGTGGCTGCGGCGGCGGCGGCGGGAGCTGGTGTGGCTGGGGGTGGCGACGGTGGTCCCCCAACTCCTTCGCTTCGGCCCACTCTTCTGCATGCAGCAGGCGGGACATCGCACTGCAAGGCTCGGAGCTCAGGCTCGGAGGAAGCGCCGGCACCCCAGCCCAGCCAAAAAAAAAAAAAAAAAGCCCTCCTTCCCAGGTCTCTTCTGCAACGTCTTATTTTTTTTCCCTCCTGTACCCTCCCCCACCCGCTCGGAGATCGCACACCGGGTCGCGTGCAACGAAGCTTCTCCGGTTGCCGAAGGCGCTGCGCCCCTTTAAAAAGCGGCACGCGCCACGAAGTCCCCCCCGCTCGCGTCCCAGCCCCCTCCTCGCGCCGGTCGCGTGTCCGCCCAGCCAATGGAGGGCGCGGGCAGGCGCGTGCGGGCAGCCAATCAAAGAGTTTTTACACCCGGAGAAAGTTCCTGTGTGCAGAGAGGACTCAGGCGTCTGCTCAGGTTTTTTTTTTTTTTTTCCCCTTCGTCCCTCTTTTAAGTTCGTCAAATTCATATGTTAATGGCAGGGCTGTAATCCGACTCCGGTGTGTGTCCCAGCCCCGGCGGGGGTGCTGCGTGAGCCCGTGCGGCGCGGGCCCTGGGCTGGTGCCTGTGCAGACTCCGGGGGGGAACGTGCGCGGCCGCTGGTGGCCCCGGGCCAGGCGCCCCGCGCGCACCCACGGCCTTCCCTGCGCTGCCCCCAAGCGAGGGTCGCAGCTCCCGCCGCTGATGCCCGCACATCAGACATCTCTCGTATGTAACATGACGCATGCACGCATGCATGTAGGTGTGTATAAATCCCTCGTCCATGTTCATAAATATAGATGTCTATAACTTAGAATGAAAGGGGGAAAAACCCCTGTCTCGGAATATGTTTCTTAATTTGACTACGTCTTTTCCTCTTTTGCTCCAGATCTCTTAGTTCGACTTTGTTATGTAATCTTTTTCTCAATGGAAAGTAAAGCTGCGGCCTATGCTACACCCATTCCGGGCCCCCCAATCCAATCCGTCCCCTTTGCCCGGCACCCTGCGGCCAAAGAGGATTGTCATCTGCAGAAAGCTCTCCGCGCTGAGCGTGATTTTAGGGCAGGGGTATCTCGCAGTATTATGCAGTCTGGGCGCACACAGTAGGGCTCCTTACTCAATGCCCAGCGAGGGGAAGGTGCCC